GTGAAATTGGGGCAGGAGGGGTAGATCTGAGAATCCTCAGCATGTAGATGGTCATTAAATCCATGGGAGCTTCTGAGATCACCAAGGGAGCAGAAACAGCAGGCACCTGACTCCCTGCCTGGAGGGCTTCTAGCAGAGGCAGGATGCCCCCCAGATGCTGAGGGTGTTGTGGAGGGTGCCCCTGTTCATAGAGGGGTGAGACGACATGCCTGTGAGGGCCCTTCCAGCACAAAGCCTGGGCTACTATGCCATGCAAAGGGAGAGCCCCTGGGAAGAACTAGCCTGGAGCTCTAGGGAGAGGTCAGGCAGGGCAGGAAATGGATCTGGATTCGCCTGTGTCTCCATTGTGGGTAAAGCCAAGGGTGTGAGTGAGAGAGGGAAGAGGCTGCAGCTAGAGCCCTGAGAAGTCACCAGAGGAAGGGGCTGGTGAGAGAAGGAGGCATGAGCAGAGAGGTCAGAAGAGAACTGGGCAAGGTTGTCTCTGAGGTAAGGGAGGACAGAGGACCCAGGAGGGAGGAGAGGGTGATAGTCAAGGCCAAAAGCTGCAGAGGTCCAGGAAGACATGACTTGGGAAAGGGGCCACAGCAGGGAGCCTTGCAGCTCGGTCTCAGTCAGTAGTGGGGTTGGGCTGATTATTAAGGGCTGGGAAGTGAGAAGAGGGGGTTAAGAAAGCAGAAGCTACTGGCATAGGAGGCTTTCTTTAAGAGTTTGCTTGGAAGAGGACAGCATCTGGATGAGCTGAGAGGTCAGGCCAAGGGAAGGCTTCTGGGAGGGCTGGGGCAGGAGGGGAGTGGCGAGGGCTCTGTCCTGGACAGCAGGTGGAGCAAGGCTGGCCCCTGCCCACGGCCTGATGGCAGAGAACAGGCCGAGAAAAGCGTCATTCCCTTTTCTGCTGGCGGAAAGGTGGCAGCACCCAGGGGTCAGACCTGGAGCAGAGCAGAGGAGAGGAGCAGAGCAGAGGAGAGGAGCAGAGCAGGTTTTCTTAACTTGAGCAGCCTACCGAGAGAGCCCCTGAGCTGTGATCCAGCCCCAGGACAAAGCCTTGGCCCTTGGAGCTGGGGTCCTGAGGGAGGGGAGATGTAAGAAGAAGAAAACAGAGAAAGGCAGATATGGGGGGGTGGTGAACAGAGAGGAAGAGACCTGAGGAAAACTGTTCAACATTTATTAATTACCTGCTGTCTTCAGGACCTTGTGTTTGATGGTGGAATGGAGTGCAGAGATGTACAGACAGGACAGAGATAGAAGATGTAGAGATGAGGGAAAAGAGAAAGCCAGAGAGAGGGCTGTGGAGAGGCAAGAAAGTGTCTGCTTAGGTCGAGGGGAAGGTAGAGCAGACAGTAAGACCAGGTCGGGGGGCGGGGGGGAACAGGGGGTGGTGAAGGACAAGGAGAGATGGGACAATAGAGTGGGAGAAATGGGAGATTAAGGGACAGGGAAGGGGGAAATAGAGAGGAAGGTCCTCATGTCATTGGACAAACATTCATTAGGCACCTGCTGTGTGCTGGATGCTGGGATGGGGCCGAGCTCACTGGGGAGGTGGGGTAGTAGCCTTGAGGACAACCCCAGGGACCCTGAGAGGAGAGGCCGGCCCGGCCTCCTCTGTCCTGGGGCTGACCCCAGCCGCCTGCTCAGCCCCTAAATCAATCCCCGGGATTATTACAATATCAATATACAATATTCCTACACTCACACCATCGATTTTGCAGTGTGGGCCTAGCCGGGCTAAGGCTGAAAGAAGGTGGGGCCCCCTCATTAAAAATCTATAGCTTGGCTGCCAGCCCCTGCCCCCAAACTGGGCAGTTTGTATTCATTAGCTCAGAGAATGAAACTCTGTTTGTCCTAGCAGAGGGGTCCCCTCCACTGCACCTATCAGCCAAAGGAACCGCCACCCTGGGCTTCAGCCTAACCTCAGCACTTCACCCCAAGGTGCCTCCAGCTGCTCTGGTGACTCCAGCTTGGCAGGACTGACCACCAGGAGGAGGAGGAGGCTTGTGAAGACCAGTGGGAGATGCTGGGGGGCTGGGGCTTGGAGGTGGAGACCCTCAGCTCAGGCTGGAGAGGCAGAGATGTGGGCCCAGCTCTTTTGGGGGGGCCAGTGCATCTCCTCCCATGGTTTCCCCTCCTTCACTTTATTCTGGGCCTCCTGCATCTTCCCCTCCCCAGCCCACCGGCAATGGGTCCTCCAAGGCAGGGTCCCCAGCCAGGTTTATAGCTAGTCCCCCGAGCTACGAGCAGCGAATCCCTCTGTAAGATCAATGGACGCCTGTAATTGCATGTGAGACACTTGTTCCCCTGTCGTGGGCCTTTATGCCAGTAATTATAAGCAGCACGTCTATGTGGGCTGGGATGAGAGGTCAGAGGAACAGCCTCGGAGGACCCATGGACTTGTGCATGGGTACCAAGCCTTGGCCCAGCTGAGGGTGGCAGTCCTGTCTCTCTGGGCCCATAGAGTGGTGACACGCTCCCCTCCAAAGTGAAACACTGACACCCGGCTCCCGCGAGAATCGCCACGTAGAGGTCGGAGGAACACCCAAAGCGGGCCCTGCCCTGCGGCCCCGAGCTGACAGTGACGCATAGGCACAATTAGCCGCGACTTGGCCCGTCCTTACCAACCTTAGAGGCCCTTTAAGCTGTGATTAAGCGGCCCCCTTCCCAGGGGAGATGGGTGCTCCCCCGATTTCCCACACGTGCAGGCAGCCAAAGTCACCCTGGGCAGCGAGGCTGTGATGGATGGGGCGCACCGGGCAGGGGGAAATGAAGACGTCAGGGTGGGGAGGACAGAGTATCTGGGCCCGAGCCCCCTCCCTCCCGGCCAGTCTGGGTCTGGGTGTTCCGTCCCCCGCTTCCCCCCCCTCCCCATCCCCGGCCCTGTCTCAGGTTCCCCACCCCTGCAGTCCCCTGCACAAGAAGGATCACTCGGGCGGCCGAGCTCCGTCAAGGGAGAAATTACACCGCGGCTCTGGCTTTTTCTTACGGCGACGGGGCCCATACATCACCGCCCGTGGGGAGAGGACGCACAGGCCAATTTCCAGCATGAAATATGGAGCCCGGCATCATCCTCCCTATGGGCTCCCTGATCCTCCCTTCCCCCGCCCTGGTCTGCATGGTAGGGGAGCGTGTAAGCAGCTGGGCTTCAGAGAGATGAGCCTCCTGCTCTCTGGGAGGGCTGGGATGAAGCCATCAGGGGCCTTTCTGGGGGCCAGGGAAAACTTGGGCACAAGCTGGGGAAGGAGCTGGGCACGTTCGGCCCAGATCCGTGAAGTCATTTTAGACTTGAGGTCAGAAAGGGCTTATTCACCATGAAAGCTTCCTGTAACTGGAAGGGGCTTCTGCACTAGTACTGAGCCCCCCCGCCCCATTAGGGGTTATCAAACAGAAATGGAAGGACCAAGATTCCTTTCCTGTGCGGGTTGGGCTAGACGCTGTGAGGCACCCCTCCTCCCCCACCTTCCAACTCTCCAATATGGTGACCTTCCTTTGGGCAAGTTGTTATCAATGGAGGGCAGGGTTTGATAAAACCCCCAGAGGCCCGAGTCCAGACCCATCACCAGGAGGGCAGGACGACTGGTGGAGAAAACCCGAGGGGAGGCAGGGAGTGCCCTTGCAAATCCCTTCCTAGGGGATCCAACCCCCTGGGGGGTGGGGGGGGTGTCTGACCTGACAGATGGGCAAGCGTAGAGCTGATCGCCATTCCACAACTAGGAAAGCTGGGGCAGAAGTGGCATAAATTCTCCTAGGCCACAGTTACTGCATTTCCCTATCCCAGTCTGTGCCTAGTGGGGGGGAGCTGATGGCCCAGTGTTTCTGCCACCCACGGACCCCCTTCCATCCCTTCAGGAACTATCCAGCATTTAAAAGGTTGGGAATGTTCGTCCCCAGCTACAAGCAGGAAACTGCATCTTGTGAAAGTAACTTGACTTAATTGCGACTATCTATGGAGCTCAGGCCCTGGTGGGCCCCTCCCCCTCAGCAGTGGTGGTCGCCCTTGGGCCCAGCAGCTCCTCACTCTCCCTCCCCTCTCTCCACAGACGACTGCAAGAACATCGCCAACATCATGAAAACGCTGGCACACCGAGGCTTCATCTTCAAGCAGACGTCCAAGCCCTTTTGATCGGCCAACCAAGGGGGAGTCAGCTCTGGCCACAGACCCCCCCCAGCCCGCCCCCCGCCTGCCCCTTGCCCCCAGCCCTCTGCCCAGGGCATCTGGAGGCAAGGAGAGCAAACCCCCTTCCCACCACCCCTAGTCTGGTCTCACTACCTGCCCACCTGCCTGCCCACCCATCGGCCTCCATTCTGAGGGGGCCCCGGGGCTGGACAGCTGGAGGGGAAGAGGCTCCTGAGCCCATGGAGCAGGGCCAGTCACCCCAGGGAAGACAGGGCATGGGGCAGCTGGGCAGGCAGGCCAGCCAGCCTTGGACTCCTTCCTGGGGGTGGGTGTGTCTCTGCTCCACCCTGGGCCAGCCCAGTCCCAGTATAAGGCCCTTCCCGTGGGGGTCCCGGGGAGGTTGGGTCAGACCTCACACTCCCCCCCTCCTCTGGCACAGGGCGTTCCATTGAAGGGGTGGGGGCCCAAGCTCCCAGTGACCTCCACCCTCCCCATAGTGCATGGCGTGTGGTTGTCCCTACCCTGGACTCCAGGACAGAGTAGCCCCTCTCCCTCCCCGTGCCCCCCCCATCACTGTGTCTGTCAACCCCACCCGCTGTGAATGTGCCACAGAGAATAAAAGTCTGGGGGAATGACATGAGGCCCCTGTGAAGCCACGTCGGGGGTAGGGGATGCAGCAAGCACCAGCCGGGGGAGGGGTGGGCTAGGCCCTGGGAGGAGGTGGGGTCTTGTGGGTGGGGCCGGGGATAGTGGTTCCAGGGCTGTCACACCCCCTCCCCCCCCAGCCCTCCGACCCAGTACAGAGAAGAGAGTGAGACGCAGGGCAGGCTCAGCAAGCAGCAGCTGCTCTATTTACACAGACCCCCCCCCCCCCCAAACACCAGTCCTGGCCTCGGGTCCGCCCAGGCTCCGGCCTAGGCCCGCCCCCAGGCCCCTCAGCAGCAGGCACGCCCAGCTCCGGCTTCGGAGCTTCAGGGTTTCTTGGCCTTTTTCACTGACGACGAACTGGAGGCTGATTCCCGTCGCTTCCTCTGTCGGAGAGGGGGAGATAGGGGGGAGAGGGGGATGAGCTGCTGGGAGCCCCTCACAGTCCCCAGGCAGCCTGAGCACCCAACCCCTTTTGGACAGAGGTGGAAACTGAGGCCCCAAGAAGCTAACCTGCCCAGGTCATCCGGGTAGTCACTGGCAGGGCCAGGGGATGGAGGGTGGGGGGGGGGCCCTGCCCCCACCGGTGCCCAGGGGCTGTGCTCACCGAGTTGGGCGTCAGGGGCGCGCCCACCACGTCGATGATGGCGTCCTTGGCCAGGTCGGGGCCCGGCCCGTCGCTAGGCAGGGGCGGTGGCTCTGCGCTGGGCGGGGGTGGGGGCGGAGGCGCGGCTCCCAGCGGCCCCACTCGGGCCAGGGCCTCGTGGCGATGCCGCAGCATCTGCAGCTCGTACTCGCAGTTGGCGCAGGCCTGCTTCAGCTCATACAGCAGCACCAGGTCACTCCGCAACTCATTGAACATCTGCACCAGCTCCTCTGTGGGCGTGGGGCTCAGCTCTGGGGGCACACACAGGGGGCTGCATGGGCGGGGCCTCCGAAAGCTCCTCCCCACGCCCGCGGCTTCCCCGGCCTCTCACTGCCTGGGGCTGGGGGCGGCTCTGGGGAACGAGAGAGCTCCCCACCCTCCGGCTGGGGCCCAGCGGATCCAGGCACCATCACCGGCTCCTTCCCCACCCTGGCTGCCCTCTTCTGGACACTTCACTTTATTAATGTCCTCCTCAGACCCAAGCACAAGACTCGACGCGGGGCGGGCTCTGAGCGGGCTGAGCGCCGTGGGCCCCTCAGCTCCCTACTCCTCGAAGCGCTGCCCAAGGGCCTATTCACCATCCCACTATTCGGGCTGCCCCATCACCCACGCAGTGCCAGGGGGCTACTCAGACTTCCAGAGCTTTTTCAAAGAAACTATTACTTAGTGACCCTCTCATCCTCACCCAGCACATATACGTACATCCTCTCTTTCCTCAAAAAAGCCCTAAATCAAAGGGAGGCCATTTCTGTCCAGGGGCCTGAATCCCAGTGCTTACAGGGGAGCTATAGGGTCTGGGGGCCACTTGCCAGTATAGTGCTCCAAGGTAGGGTCAACAGGTTCCCCAACTCTGTATTAATATACCCTGATTTTAGGACGGGAGGGGAAAGTCCCACTCTGGAAACCCCTAAACCCAGAATAGATTCCCCTAACAGCCCCAAATCCCACATGGCCCAGGGACCTCCTCCTGGGGGGCACCGGTGAACCTCAATCCTCTGTTCCTCCCCTCTCCCCACCTCCATCCCTCTTCCTCCACGCTGGGTCTGGCCCCTCCCACAGCCTCCAGGTCAGCCTAGACCCAGGCCCACACTCACCTACTCCCAGCTCCAGAAGCATCTGCTCCAAAGCCTTGATCTTCTTCTGTCCCACGGAGCTCGGCAGCTTCATCTGCACCAGGGATCACAGCTCTGCTCAGCCTCCGCTCCAGCCCTGCCCACCTTGCCCAGCCCCCCTGGAAGCAGGAGGCCCAGGAGCAGAGAGGGCAGCAGGACAACATGGCCTCACAGCCACTGACCCCAAGCATGGGTCACTCCCCTGGCCACAGTGGGCACAGGCCCAGGAGAAGACACCAAGTGAGTGGAGACCTGGTCCCAGACGAGGTCCCTGCTCCACGGTGCTGCTCAGTCTCAGGGCAGGTGGGGGAATGACCAACCTTGGATCACCAGGGCTTCAGTCTTTGCAAGGCAGACAGAGGCCTCTGGGAGGCAGGGCCTGGACAGAGCCCCAGAGGTCCAGGACCAGCTTCACCCAGCTGGGCTGGGGCTGCAGTGACAGTCTTGGGGGAGAATCCAGTTAGTTCTGAGCCAAAGCCGGAAGGCCACATCCACGCCCAAGAAAGATTTCCTGAGGAGCACGTGGACAGCGAGCTAGAGGGAGGGGGCAGACGTGCCTGGGCCAGGAGATGGACGCCCTCCTCGAGGAGGACACAGCCTCACAGAGGCACGTTCTCTACCAGGGATCAACAGGGAGAGGGAGCAGGCTAGCCCTCATCCCAAAGCTGGCCCCGTTCCCCCAGCGGCTCTGTCTCACCCCTGCAAGCCTACCACCCCCTCTTCTATCTCCTGGTTCCACCTGGCAGCTAGCGGGCAGCCGGGCAGACTCCATTGGCCAGGGAGCAGAGTATATTCTAATTTCACCGTCATTAAGAAAATGTTATGATTTATGTGGCAGGGCCCACTGATCCTAGCTCTGCATTTAGCGGGTGAGCCGTCCATCTCCAAGATGGATGAAGGTGGTCTGCTCTCCGTGAAACGTTATCAGCCTGAAATGAGGAGTCCATCACTCACCTACTTGGCAAGGCTGGCCCCCAGTGACCATGGCACCAAAGGCCACTGCCAGGCAGCAGTCCCAAGGCTGGCGACTTTGAGTCAGCCAAGGTGAGGCAGTGCCCAGCCCGTGGCCCTACCACAGCTGCCCACAAACTAAGCAGACCTGGGGGGACGTGGATAGAGATAAGAGAAGCTGAAGAAAGGCAGAGCCAAGAGCTGGCGAGGGGACCGGAGTCTGGGACTTACCCTCTGACTACGAAGGGTGACTCCCGCAGACTTGAAGTCGGGAAACTTGATGCCGGCTGTCTCCGGGACAGCCTGAAAGGAAGAAGAGAGAGCAGGGATCAGACAGGCCGGGTTGGGGGGAGGGGGACCAGAGCAAAAGGCCCACCCAGGGTCCTCGCCCTCCAGGGGCCCCACAGACAGAGCAGGACAACATCCCAGCTGCTCAGCCTTCCAGGCAGCCGCCTGTGCTCTTCAGGTGACTCAGACCTGGGGGAATTCTTTCCATCACATCAAAGCTCCTGTAGGGTCAGGGCAGAGGAGCAGGCGAAAGCAACCTTGTGTAGCCCACCCCACAATCCACTCCAACTTCCTCCCCCTGGACAGTTGGGACAGGGAGGTCTGAGCAGGGCTAGGGGCAGACGCCCAAGACCAGCCACTGAGGGCTGAAAGGGCCCTCTGCACCCAACCAAGGGCAGCCCTAATAATTAATAGTAATAGTAGCTAACATTACATGGCACTTACTACGAAACATTTTATAATTATTATCTCATTTGATCCTTACAACAACCCTGGGAGGGAGGTGCTATTACTAGCCCCATTTTACAGATGAGGAAACCGAGGCAGACAGGTTAAGTGACTTGCCCAGGGTCACACAGCCAGTACATGTCTAATGTTGGGTTTGAACCAGGGCCTTCCTGACTCCAGACCTGGTAGTCTAGTCTCTGCACACCTATCCTGGGGTCAGCCAGCCTCTGCTTGGACACCTTTAGGGAGAAGGGCAAGTGATGAAGGACAAAAGGCAATGACCCTGGCGTCCCAAGACTGGAGGATAAACCCTGGTCTGCCACTTCTCACCTGTGTGACCTCCCTTTGGGCCTCAGTTTCCTTCTCTGTAAGGTGAGGGGGTTGAACCTGGTGTCCCCTTGGGTCGTCCCCAGCTCTAGAACGAGGGTCCTACCATATCCATGAAGAGAAACCTGCCTTGTGAGGCCCCCTTCCCATCGTCAGGCAGATCTCTGTTAGTTTTTCCTGACGTTAAGCCTCAGTTTACCTCTTTGCAATTTCTCCCCTCTCAGAACCCAAACTTGCTCATTTATATTATGTCATTATATGAGACCATTATAGATGGGGAAACTGAGGCCAAGAGAGAAAGGAGCTGGTAAGAAAAAGTGACAGTTGCCACCTCCCCTGCGGCATCCTGCAGAAAAAATTCATGTTGGAAAAATGACAAACCAAGCAAAGTGGGTCACTGCAGAAAGAGTGCCTGGGGAAGCCCGCCCCTGGGACCCTGACCCTGGGCAGCAGGGACACAGGAGTGTCCCGTAAGATACAGGGGCAGGACCCTCGAAAAGAGAAAGAGCCAGCGAGGGAAACGGCAGGTTTGATGCCGAGTGCCCCCAGCGAGGGGCAGGCAGCGTGGGGGTGCCAGCCCAGGGAAGGTCTAGTGCCCGTGGCTGGGCAGGCTCAGAAAGAAGAATAAGGAGCCCACTCACGGATTAACCGACTACAGGGGAAAGTGAACCCAGCAGGGGCTGGAGAGGAAAGACCCAGTGGGCAACAATTCAGACGAGGGCCCCGGGCCTTGCCCAGAAGATCATCAAGCCCAGAGTGCGCAGCTAGGACCCCAACCAAGGCTCTTCCCTGGACTCCAGGCTCTGTGCTTTCGCATGGGGCATCAACCACGGGAGGTTTTACAAAGGCCCGACAGGCTGTGATGGGCCTTTTGTAAGGACGACTGTGGAAGCAGAGGACGTCTCCGCTAAGAGGCCGAAGTACACTGACATCACTCTACTGGACAGGAGCCATTAGGAGAACAGTCAATGTCGGCAAGGCTGTGGAACAACAGGGGCACAGATGGACTGTGGGAAAGGCTTCAAACCCTCAAAAACAATTTCAACTCTGTGAGAAGTCATGCATCCCATGCCCACTGAGGAAGCAGGCAGCGTCTACAGGGTCTGGAGAAGGAACAGGGAGGGGGCCACACAAGGTCAGGAGCCCAAGAGCTTTGGGATCTTGGGGCCTTCAGCCTGGGCCAGAACCTGGTGTCCTCCCCCCTCCAGGCCCCTTCCTGTTCCCCAGCCCATCCAGCTCCCAGGTGAGATCATGGCTGGGACAGAACAACTGCGCAGTGCAAGTCCCCTGGCCCAGATGAAGGACGTCCTTGGGCCCTGCAAGAACAGGCAGAGGGCCTGGATCATCAGTCACATCAGAAAGATGGTAGCAGCTCAGCCACGCACTGGCAGAAGGCAAGGCTCCCGGGGCTTAAAAATCCAAAGGGATCAGAGCCTGCCACCTGGAAGTCAGGGAATTTGACCTCACTTCCTGGGAAATGTTTGGGGTCCTGCAGAAAATGAAGCAGGGATCCTGTAGAGCTGGCCTGGCTTCAACAAAGCCAGGGCGTGGCTGATGCCCTACTTCCTTTTTGGAAAAGGGCAGCCACAAAGAGAAGGTGGCAGAGAGGAGACCTGCCGTGTGTTGGCAAGCTGTGGACAAGGCCATCCTATAATCAAGTGGACACTGCCGAACGGGCCAAATGACCAGCCCCAATGAGGAGTCATTAATGGTTGTGTTCACTAGAAGGAGGCGTCCAGGAGAGTGCCCTTGGGGTTCTATGCTCAGCCTCGGCACTGCTGCAGAGCGTCTGCTACTTACCACCCATGGGACCCCGGCACAGTCACTTGCCCCTCTGGGCTTCAGTCACCCCAGCTCTAGCCCTCTGATGCACGTGACTTAGATCAAGGCTTCGCTGGCACGTGCATCAGGCCCACAGCAGGACATCACTGCTCCCTCTGTGTCTCTTGGCCTCCACAGAGGCAGAGCACAGGGTCCGGCTGCAGGAGAGGGAGCGGGCACCACTCTGTGCCCGCCAAGGCCAATGGGCCGGCATTAAGGATGAAGCCCCTTTAATGCACTAAAGCACGAGTCCAGGATGGGGGAGCGAAAGGGAAGAGGTACGCAGCTGGGGAGCTGATGCTGTGAGAAAGATCTGGGGTTTTCATGGCCCACAAGCTCAGGAAGAGGCTCTTCCAGGGAAAGGGGAGGGGACGGGACGATCCCTGTCTGCACAGATCTCATCTGATACCACGGTATCAGAGGGATCCTGACCAACAGCAAAGCAGCCAGCATGGTGAGGAGCCTAGAATTCCTGCCCTGGGAGGGTGGGTGGAAGGAGCCAGGGGGTGCGGTGGGACGGACACACTCCCACAGGCCTCAGGATACAGGGGAGCCGCCACCCTGGCCTTGAGGGCCCTGGAAGGCAGGCAGGGCAGAGGTCCCTGGCTGGGTAGGATGTCGGTGTTCGGGGCACTGGCCCAGGCAGCCCCAGGTGATGTGCCCCCTGCCCTCGCCCTGCTCACCGGCTTCTCTGTCTCCTTCTTCTGCGGCAGCTTCTTCTTGGGAGCCTTGCGTTCAGTGCGCCGCTGCTCCGCTGTGGTATCGGCAGCAGTGATGAGCTTCTGCAGGTCCTGGCTCCGCTTCTCCCGCTCCTTCTTGCGAGCCTCAATCTTACGGAGCTCCTGAACCAAGTATTCCTCCTCGGCCACCTGCAGGCACAGGGAGGGGTCCAGAAAAATCAGACCACAGAGACGTCCCATCAGCCACATGGTCTGACTTGTTTAAATGAGGAGAAACAAGAGCTGGAAGGTCCAGAGCACCCATCCCCCTCCACGGGGCACAACTTTATAGTTTTGTTGGATGAAGGGGGGAAAAGTGAGAAAATGTCGAGCACATTCTAAAACAACCTGCCTCACCAGCACACTGCTGCTTGCTCTATCACATCTAACTGTCAAGGCTGCCCCAAGATGAAGGCAGCCTTGTTCTTCCTCTTCAGAAGGTCAAGCCTAAGGCCCAGGCTGCTGGGCCCAGCCCAGATGCCTCCCACCAGAGCACCCTGACACAGCATCTCTACAGGCTAGGGGAGTGGCTCACCTGCTGGGAGGGGAGTGGGAGGACAGGGCACAGCCACAGGGAAAGGGGCTCCTCACCTGCTCAGGGGTGCGGTTGTAAAGCCTCTCCAGCTGCTCCTTCCGCCGCCGCTCATGCCCAGCATCAAACACAGGCACCTTGAGGTCAGTGCCTGGCACAGCCCGGACATTGGCCAGCCTGGCACAGATGTGATAGTACCGCTCCTTCAGGTCCTCCACCGACCGCTTCTGGGATGGGGAAGGGACACGTCAGGAATGTCGGGGAAGGGATACCGGACTTACTGCCTGGGGGATGCAAGGATGGGGGCCAGGGAGAGGAAAGAGAGAAGCAGGAGCCATGGGGGAAAACTGCAGGGAGGCAAAGATCTCTAATAGCAAGAGTGGTCCCAGTGGCCTGCGCTGCCCCGGGGGAGAGAGCGCCAAGCAGAGGTTACACAGCCATCTGTCAGACTACTGTCCAGGCATTCCTGGTCAGAGCCAGGCCGGACAGAAAGTCTCCGCAGCTCTGAGGGCCTGGCCAAGGCACACGGGGGGAGCATGAGCCCCCCTACCACTGACCTTAAATTGCTGGTGGTCATAGCGGTCATGGATGACCACAAAGCGCAGGTCGAAGCGCCGGCTCAGGTCAAAGAGATGGTCCGTCTCGGCCTTGGTCCAGGCATCATCATGCAGGTACAGCTGGTACTCCTGCTCTGAATAGACAGGCACCTGCACTGCCTGGGAAAGAAACAACTGTGTGTTGGGTACAAGGAAGCAAGGCCCCCGGGGTTCCTAGGGACCTGTGTACACAGTGAGCACAGGCCCGACAGTGGCCCCAGTCTGCATGTTCCCAACAGGCTGCCTTCCATCCTCAGCCCTCTGTGGCTCTGGCCCAGGACGGGACCTCTCTCTAGCAGGCAGGCAGTGGTAGGCAGCTAGCCATGCCACACTGGGACCACCAGAGGGCAGCAGAGTCTTACCAGACAGGCATATATGTATTCACACCATGGACGTCCCACATAGAGGGAGGGGACAGTCCCTCTATCCTCAACCCAGGCCAGACCACATCTCCAGGACTGGGGTCAGCCCTGAGCAGCTCAGTTTAGTGAGGACACTGAGGACATTTAGCAGAAAGCAAGCAGGAGGGCGAAGATCCTGCCTAGAGAAGAGAGGACCAGGGGGACATAAGAGCTGGGATTAGCCTCCTTCTGCTAGACCCCTGAGGGCAGACCGACGAACCAGAGAGAAGAAGGCACAGATTTTGGCTAAATAAAAAGGAAAGCTTCCTAAACAAGACAGCTGGCCCAGGGGAAGCCAGCCAGCTTTGAAAATGTTCTGCCTTGTTCTATCCTGGGTCACAGGGCACAGAGCATGCCCCCATGCCCCAGGGTCCAAGGGAAGAAGGGGGAGGATTGGAAAGATGGGAAAATAAAGACAAAGCCAAGAGTGGGACTCTTCCCTTTGTTCTGGGGCCTAGAAGAGGGAGGCAGTGATGCCCAGCTACAGGATTCAGCCAACTGCACCCTTCCATTTACCCCAGGAAGGAGAAGCCAAGGAAGGTACCTTCTAAGGAGGCTAGGAACTTAGTAAGCCAAGGAGCCAAATCTGATGGGAAGGAGGGTGGGCCAGGCAGGCCTTCCCCAGAGAGAAGATCCACAGGAACAGAGGATAAAGAGGAAACCCTCTACAAGAAACACCAGGGTCAGAAACCAGCACAGCGAGTAACCAATGTGCACAGGATGGCCAACGAATGAAAGAACCCTGAGACCCTCGTTCCCTCCGGGAGATAAATACCACAATGGACATTCCCAGGTCCAGTATTTGAGTGCTGGAAGGGACTTCCCTGGCCTCGAGGCTGAACTGCACACAAAAGGAGTCTCCCCTTTACAAAGGAGCTTCCAAGCTTGGCACAGCCCCTCCCACTATGGGAGGGCTCTGCCGCTGAGGAAGTCTTTCCTAACATCAAAGCCAGTCAGCCTTTTGGCAACTCTCTCTCTCTTTTTTGGTGAGGCAACCAGGGTTAAGTGACTTGCCCCAGGTCACACAGCTAGTAAGTGTCAAGTGTCTGAGGCTAGATTTGAACTCAGGTCTTCCTGACTCCAAGGCTGGAGCTCTATCCACTACACCACCTAGCTGCCCACTGGCAACTCTCCAGAGCCCTCCAAGAAGTCCAAGCCTTCTCCCCCACATCAGCCCTGAATCTTCTCTCGTCCAGGCTCAGCATGCCAGGGGCCCTCCCCCGTTCCAGCTTCTCCCTCAAAACAGGATCAAACACTCCCAATGAGGCCTGACAAGAGCACCCTCAATCCCAGCAAGTTCTGCCTCCTAATGCTGCCCCCTCACCCAGATGATTCATATTGAGCTTCCTGAGCTAGAGGTTCACTCAAACCCCAAGATCCTTTTCAGAACACCTGATGTCTAGCCTGTCTTCCATCTTATCTTATATTTGCGAGGTTAATTATTTTGAGCCAAGTGTAAGACTTCATTTACATTTATACCTAGTCAATCGTCTCTTCTTCCACTCGGCCCAGGGCTCTAGCCTGTCCAGCTTCTGTTTGGATGGGCCCGTGTCCTCCGCTGGGTTAGCTCTCCTGCCCAGCTATATGCCATCCACACCCCTTTTCAAGTCACTGATAAAAATGTTAAACAACCCAAAGTACTGATCCCTGGAGCACTCCACTGAAGAACCCTTCCCCTTGGAGGCCGGCTGACTGGGTCCTTCCATCTTCTCCACGAGAAGATTCTGAGACCTCATCAGAGCCTTGCTGAAACCGAGGTGAGCTCTGTGCTCAGAAGCGCTCTCATGTCCTGGCGCAGGGATCTGCTCCACCAGGAGGAGAAGCCAGGCCCGGCAGGCCCAGCCTTGAGGAGGCAGAAGGCCAGGGGTCTCCCTCTGGTTGCTCCCGCTTCGGGACACCATCTAGAATTTCCCAGGAGCTGAAGGCAAGCTCAGGCCTTTTGTTTTTTTGAAAATCAGGACAGCATTTACCCTTTCCCCACTCTGTGGTGCCTCAACATCACAACTGTCACTCCTTCAGGACCTACCCATGGCTCACCTGGGCCCAACAACCGGTATTTACTCCCTGGAAGAGGGGGCCTCTGGACTGAAGGGACACGGCAGCCCTCCTCCACCAGCCCCTCCCACAGCCCTCAGTGACGGTTCCACCTTCTCCTCATGTCCCCAACACCACCTGCCCATCTCGTTCGTAGATAATGACCTCTGGTCCAGCCGCAGGGAGAAATCGGGGGCCACCGCACGGGCCCTCCCTCAGCTAGCCTCGCCTCTCCTATGCTCCTCCGCTTCCTGTCCGAGAGGACAGCTCTCTCCCCGTGTCCTTATTCTCACTCAGCTCACCGATCCTTCCGGGTCCTCACTGAGCTCCTCCTCTCCTGCCTGGGTCAGCACACGCTCACGAAGTGCTCAAGAAACACCTGCTGACTGACTTGAGATATAACACAGCATCAATAGTTGGGCTTTGGTGGCAGCAAAACACTGGAAACCAAATGAGGACTGCGGAAGAGATGAAGAGATTTTGGTTTATGAACACGATGGAAATAATTTCACTAAAAGAAATAGCAAAGCTGAGATGTTCAAAGAAACACGGCAAGGTTCGTAGATCTGACGTAGCGCAAAGAAAGGTGAACCAGGAGAGCAGCAGACCTGAGGGAGTGATGTAAGGGAGAACCACATTAAAAGGCTCTTGAATCTGGGCTAACTGCAATGAACAATCGCGGTTCTGTGGGGCAGAATCTCACCTCCATCTGCTCAGTAAAAAGGGGGGACCTACAGATACAGAACGCTACATGCCTGTCAGACCGTGGGGCTTTTCAGTTGGCCTGGCTCTGGTACAAGGTTAGCAGCTGGTTACTTTGTTACAGGGGATGATGAGTCAGTGAGTAGGGGTGAGGACTACTGGGAAATGACGAGGATGTTAAAGCAACAACAAAAAATCCCTTTAAAAAGAACCCATTTAGGGGCAGCTAGGTGGCGCAATGGATACAGCTCTGGTCTTGGGGTCAGCAGGACCTGAGTTCAAATCCAGCCTCAGACACTTGACACTTACTAGCTGTGTGACCCTGGGCAAGTCACTTAACCCCCGATTGCCTCACTAAAAAAAAAAAAAAAAGATTGCACATAAAAAACCCATTTCAGGCCTCGGATGAACTAGAGATCCCACTCTGATTTCCAGGTCCCCAGGGGTAGTACAGGTAAGCTGGGGCCCTCAATGAACCCATGAGCCTCTCCTCCACAGGAAGCATGATGCTGGGCCTAAACACCCCAGCTGGGCACAGAGATCACACTAAACGTGCTCAGTAACAGCACGAGGTAGAGACAAAGTGTTACAGCTGGAAAGGAGCAGGAGTGTGATATCGGTTGGAAGTCAGAGGGTGCATGGCCCAGCCCTGTCAATCTCTAAGCCTCAGTAGCCCCATCTGTAAAGTGGTAGGAATAGTCCCACATGGATGGGGACCTAAGGAGATCATGGATTCATGGGTGGAAACGAGCTTTGTAAACTGTGGAGTCAGCAACAAGCAGAGGAGAGGGTTCTCCCCAGGGGGAAATCAGGCCCAGGGAGGGGGGAGTCACTTTTCTGCCTTCTTCTGCCCTCAGAGAGCTCACCCATCTCCACAGTGCCAAGCACCTCCTTTATCCGGACAGCTCCTCCAAGGCACAAGCACATGGTAGGCACCTGACCTGAACCTCTGGGGAGCCCGGCTCTGCCTTGAGAGCAGCTAGACCACAGCCCAGGGTCAAGCAGGCAGCAGGGCCTGGGGCCACCGACTAGCCATGTGAACAGGACCCCTCTGAGAGAACTAATGGACTCTGGGAGCAGACTGAAGTGACTTTTCTTCACTTTGTTTGTTCTGCTTTCCCCCCAACATGGCTAACATGGAAACGTTCTGCATGACTTGATATGGATGATGGGTATCACGTTGCTTGCCTTCTCGATGGGGGGGAGGGGGAGGGTCAATGGAGGGGAATTTGGAACTCAAAATTTTTTAAAATGAATGCTAAAAATTAATTGATCGATATTTTTTAACCCCTTCCCCCCTCCCCCCAGCCTCAGTTTTCTCATCTGTACTTAGCTCAAAAGGCAACGTTACTGGGCCCAAACTAGATCAAATATGGGTAGAGGGTGATGTCACCACTGTAACTGATAAATGTAATCTCCCTATGGAGAACATGAAGCCTGTGGTGAGGATCTGGAGTCCCATTCCTACCTTACAACAAGGAGGGATTAAAGGAGGAGGGAGGGGAGGGGGTGGAACAAGCCTTAATTAAGGCCTGCTTTGTGTCACGCACAATAACCCTGGGAGGTAGGTGCCATTGTCTTCCCTGTTTTATACAGGAAACTGAGGCAGGCAGAGGTCACCCAGCTAGTCAATGTCCAAGTCAGGATGTGAACTCAGGCCTTCCGGACTCCAGGCCTGGTGCACCACTCAGCCACCTCTGTTTTAAGACTGTGTCTGTTTTGACACTGGGGGGTAAGGGCTGATTGACTGATGGGATCATGGCTCAGAACCACCCTGAGACATAGGCCTGGACCTACAAAGGGCAGGTGAGTTGGGAAGATCTACGGACAGCTGAGCCCAGATCACAGACCCCGGGGTGGCAGGAAGCCCGTGTTCTGGCATAGCCCCATGAGGCCTGATCATCCTCCTTCTCAGATGTAGAAACAAGGCAGAACTCTAAGAATGGCTGGACTGTGGGGGCCGGGAAGAGTACACATGATTGTAACCACACAGCCCATGGCCAACTGCTGGTTAATACGAGACCCAGTATGAACAACACATTTTGGCATACAAACTGAGCCTGCTCCTGAAAAACGAGGTGTCTGGGGGGCAGCTAGGTAGCGCAGTGGATAGAGCACTGGCCCTGAAGTCAGGAGGACCTGAGTTCAAATCCGGCCTCAGACCAAAACACTTGTCACTAACTAGCTGTGTGACCCTGGGCAAGTCACTTAACCCCAACTGCCTAAAAAAAAAAAAAACAAAAAACGAGGCCTCTGGGAAAACTGAGCATTCGTTTCTGGGATGCTCCTGGCACCCAAATCTCTCTACTAGCAGCCACTAGAAAACATCTTAGTGCAAGAGGCACCATGCAAAGGCCAAAGCTGGACCCTGCTCTCAAAGGAAAGCCCAGCGGGGGAGCCCCAGGCGCCAACAAGGTGTAAATTAACTGAAGGAAACCTCAGCGGGAAGGCGCCCGAATTAAGGGGGATCAGGAAAGGCTCCTGTAAAAGGGGGGACTTTAGCTGAATCTTCAGGAAGCCAGGAGGCAGAGATGAGGAAGGAGGGCATGCCAGGCATGGGGCACAGCCAGAGAAAATGCCCAGAGTCTGGAAAGGAGCAACAAAAGGGCCAGTGTAAGCCAATCACAGAATACATAGAAGGGAGCAAAGGTTAAGAAGACAGCAAGAGAGGAAGAGGCCGGTTGTGAAATGCTTTGGACTCCAGGGAAGGTAAGAGGGTCACTGGACTCTACTCGATGTGGGGTGACTTGGACAGAGTTGCGCTTCAATATCGCCTTGACAATGAAGTGGAGAGTCCAGGGCGAGGTGATGGAGGTCAGAGAAGGGGGAGTGGGCAAGAGCCACCACCAAGGTCACATCAACAGGACATGCCAGCTGGAGGGACACGGAGGCTGAGAGGGCGAGGAGTCGACACCTCTGCACGAGCCCGGCTGCCCAGAAGAGGGAAAGGTCTGGCGGTGAGAGCATTTCAACCTGAGGCATGCTGAGTCTGAGGTGTCTACAGGACACCCAGCTTGAGACGTCCAACAGGAAGCTGGAGATGAAAGAATGGCGGTCGAGAGAGGCGAGGGCTGGATACACAGATCTGAGAATCGTCTGCCTAGGATGAGGCCTGAAATCACGGCAGCTGAGCAGATCGCCAAGGTACGGGGCAGGGCTTGGCAACTGCCAGCTGCGCCCAAAGACACCAAAAAGGTGTCTGCCACCCCTTCTGGCAAGTCCACGGATAAAAATGGTTTTCACATTTTAAACGAAGCTTTACTGTATTTAAAAATGTAAAAATCATTCACAGCTCAAAGGCCAGACAAAAACAGGCAGCAGGCCAGACCCCTGGTATACAGGAGATGAGAAGAGGACCTGAGGGAATAGCCACAGCTAACGGGCACGGCCTGGAAGAAAACTCAAGCCAGGAGCCTGAGGAGCAATCAGACAAGTAGGAGGACCAGGAGAGCAGGACCGCAAAAACCTAGAGGAGACGATCCAGGAGAAGAAGGTGATTTACAGAAGAAAAGGCTCCAGAGAGCAGAAAGACCGAGGACTGAGAAAAGACCATTCCATTTGGCTCTCTGTGAGCGGGAAGGCTGGAAAACCTAAGAGCGACTGGAGAGAGCTCAGCCCCAGAAGGGACGCAGAGGATCTTTTCAGGGCAGGGGAGACATGGGCATGTTTGTAGGCAGTAGGGAAGGAGCCAGTAGACAGGAAACAACTGAAGACTAGTGAGAGAGTGGGGACGAAAGGGAGCACAATCCGCTGGAGACGGGATGGAATGAGATCTCTTAAAGAAGCAGAGGGCTTGGCCCTGGCCAAGAGTGAGGCCACTTCTTCATGTGAGACAGGGGTGAAGGAGGGGAGAGGGGCAGGAGGCCCTTGAGGGACAGGAAATGAGGAGGAGGAAGGAAGAAGAGGGAGTTCATGGGAAACGGTCTCAGTTTCGTCTGTGACATCTGAGACAAGGACCTCAGCTCCGGATGATAAGAGGCCGGAGCAATGGGAGACTTTCCCTCTTCTGTCCTCTCTCATGTGCAGTCAGTCACCACATCCTGTCCTTCCTTGCAGGCACCGGCTCAGCCTGGGCACTCTCCGCCACCTGCCTGGACTCTACCGTGGCTTCCCCTCAGGCCTCACTGCCAGCCCTACCTCCCTAGTCCACTCCATCCATAAAAGGATGCAAGATAAACCTTCCTCATGCAGACTTGCTGGCATGGTGGCTGTGGCAGCAGAAGTCCTGGGCTCAATTTGGCCCACTGACACATACTACCTGGGTGACTCTGGGCAAATCATTTCATCTCCCTCAGTTTCTTCATCTGCAAAATGAAAGAGTTGGAGACAAATGACCTCTGAGGCTCCGGTGAGCTCTGGATCTAAGACGCTCTTCTATCCCTACTCTTCTATCCATACTCAGGCCCCAAAACTCCCTGCGGCTCTCAGCCAGCTCCGAGAAGCAAGTTCCAGTCTCGGATCCGGCAGTGAGGACCTCAGCCGCCTGGCTGGTACACAAAGTCACACAGCTTTGCCACCGACAGCTCCGAGAAGCCAGCTCACATAGACTGCTCAGCAGCCCCACCACATGATCCCCGTACCGCTGTCTCTGCGCCTCTGCTCAGGGTCTCCTACGCTTCAGCAGGTCATCCCACCCCGGGGGGTGTGCCGGGTCCTCTCCAAGTCTGAGGACACCTCCTCCATGAAGCCTTCATGGAAACCACCTAACTATACATGACCTTTCCTTCCCAGGCCTTCCCCGAGCCCTCGATTTGTACTCCCGTTGGTGACACCTCTCCAAAGACTAGGAGTTGCGGAAGAACAAAAATTGTTTTGCTCTTGTCTTTTACACCTGCTGGACCAAACCAAATGCTTACACGGGCCGAATCGGAGACAGCCCAGAACATCAGTGTGCGCCGGCCCCAGTGAGCACAGCAGCAGGGAAGCCTCACCTTATTGAACCTGGCAAAGGGATAGTCCTTGCCCTCCTCAGCTGCACGCCGCCAGTGATAGAACATGGCCCCATCCTTTCGGGCAGGGTTGGTGAAAGGCATCCACTTCCAGGGTCGTACCTTCTTGGACCCTAACTTGGCCTTCACTGTGCGGTATCCTTGGGTTGTATCGCTGGGGAGCAGGGGGGGTGCATCCCTGCCAGGGAAGTGGGGAGGGTGATTATAGGCCAGGCCCTGGGATGCCCCATGAACCCGCCTTGTTCCCTCTATCCTCCTCCCTGAAAAGGAATAGCTGTGTGAGTAGGTGGGTAGAGAAGCCCAGCAGCAAAAGGACAAGATAGCCTCAAAAGGCTGTCCTGTATCTGAGTGTGACTGAAAGGGGCCCACCAAGGCCAGCCCTAAGAAGCCTCAGGCAGGTAGGAGAGATGAAACCTGGGCATCTCAGTCTCTTGGGGAGGAAAAGGGGAATGCAGCTAGGAGTGGCGGGGATGGGGAGGTGAGGGGGTGAATCCACTTGCTTTTTGTCGGAGTAGAGCAGAGCGTAGACCTCACGGTGCATGCCCTCTGGCCTCTTGAACGTCAGCGTCTCTGACGACTTCTTGGACTTTTTCTATGGAGGGACCGAGACTCAAGTGGAGAGACCAGGCCAGGGAGCCCCTCCCCCCACCATCCCACCAGCCTGGCTCCCCCAGCCCCTGACCTCAGCCCCACCTTTGCCATCAGCACCTCCTGCACAGGAGCTGAAAGGGCCTTCAAAAGGCATGGAGACTGGCCCCCACTTGAGCAGGGGTCGGCCTGCGTCTGCTTGGAGCCCTGCAGAAACGGGGAGCTCACTACCTCCCTTGGCAGCCTGGCTTTCCAACAGGACTGGGGCAGGTCCAGGAGGATGCTCAGAAACCCCGCCCCTTCTCCCGGCCCCGCCCAGCCACAGCGCGCAGGCGCACAAGGCCCCGCCCCGTCCGGGGGTCGGTCCGCCCCACGCCACGCAGGCGCATTCGGTCCTGAAGGCAGTCTTGGCCCCACCCCTCCGCGCCCGCCCCGCCCGAGCGCGCAGGCGCAGACGCACCTTGTCCGGGTTGATGATGTCCTTCTTGCTGATGGGCCCCGGCGCATCGCCCTCAGGCCCGCCCAACTCCAGAATGTCGCGAACGTCGGCACCTGTCGCCATGGCGGCCCTCGGACTCTTCGGGCCTGAGCTCGGCCCCGGCCCCTCCTCCTCCCTCCTCCCGCCGCCGCCGCCGCCGCCGCCACCGCCGCCTCCCGGCGCCGCAGGCTCCGACTTCCGGCTGTGCAGAGTCACCTCCTAACCGGCCCGGCCGGACCACTTCCGGTACAAGCGCGCTCCTGAGTATGGTCGCGAGCGCACCCACCAGCGGCAGCTGCGGCTGCGCAAGAGGTAGAGGGCGGGGCCCAGGCGCACCCCGCCCCTCGAGCTGTCAGTCAAGCCGCCTCCGCCTTCGCTGAGAGCCTACTGTGTGCTTGAGGACTCTGGGTGGGGCCTGTGTGCAAAGCTAAGGCCCCACCCCACACACACACATCCTGGCCAGGGCCTTAGGTCTGGGAGGGCCAAGCGAGCTTACCCAAGCACACAAACACACACGCACCCTCACCCACCCCAGGCTCCTGCGCCTGAGGGGCCGGGACGAAGGGAGCTACTGGTGCTTGAGCTGGGGAGTGACTGCATCAGACCCGCAGCTTAAGGAGAATCAGGAATGGACACGAGCGGGGAGGACAATGAGTCGTCATAGGGGTCCAAGCTGCGTGGTGGCTGTGTAAGGGAGAGAAGGCATCAGATGTAGTGGAGAGACGTCGTGGCAGCAGCGGTTAGTGGATAATAGGCCCCCTAACAGCATCACCCACGAGCATCAGAGCGGATGACATCTGTACAGTGCTTAGCACCGTGCCTGGTACTAGTAGGCACTGTGGGAATGCTTATTCCCTTCCCCTTGCCCTGGAAACCGCGTGATATCATTGCGTATGTAATGTAGGCTGTAATGTAGGGTCGCTGCCAGACTGGACAGATGATGGTGATGCCCACAACTAACGGGGAAGTTAGAGCAAAGAGTTTTGGGAGAAGCATGATCGAGTTCAGCGTCAGACGTGTGGAGTTTGAGATGTCCAATAGGCAGTTGGTGATCCGAGACTGAAGCTCAGGGAGGAGACTGAGGCTGAAGATAGAGATCATCTCTCCAGATGACTCCCAGCCATGGAAGTAGATGAGGTCACCAAGAGAGTGGAGCGGAGAAGAGGGGCCCGTGACAGAACGTTGGAGAACATGCGGATTATGGATATGGCATCAGCAAAACTGACCTGGCAATTAAAAGATCATGGGTAGCTTTGGAGAGGGTGGTTTCACCTGAATGATGAAGTCTGAGGCCAGATTGGAGAAGGCTGAGTAGTGAGTGAAAAGAAGGAAACTGGTGGGATCTAGTGTGGATGATACCTACTCTTACGGTGCCCCCTTCTCTCCTTTGACATTGTCACCCCCCGGTGCAGGCCCTTATCACCTCTGGCCTGCACTGTTGCAGTAGCCTTCTGGTGGGTCTGCCTGCTTCCAGTCTCTCCCCATCCCAGACCATCCTTGACACTCAGCTGTTAAATTTATCTTCCTAAAGCACATATCAGACCGTGGCACCCCTCCTACTTGATAAATTCCAGTAGCTCCCTATCACCTCCCAGATGAGATATAAAGTCCTCCATTTGGCTTTCAAAGCCTGTTACCATTTTCTCCATCCCACATCAATAGTCTTCTTTACTCCTCTTTTTGTACTCTGTGATTCAGGAACACTGGCCTTGCAGCTCCTCAAAAGTGACCCTCCATCTCCAACTCAAAAGTTTTTCGATGACCAGTCTTCCTTACCGTTCCTTCTTTCTCACTTCTGCCTGTTGGCTTTCTAGGCTTCTTTCAGGTTTCAGCTAAAAACTTAGCTTCAGCAAGAAGTGTTTTTCAGTCAAAATAGTGTAAAAACAAAAATTCTAAAGATCAAAGAAATTAACAAAATTTAAAGCAAAAAAAAGCCACTGAATGATAAATAAAGCTAGAAGCTATTTTGGGGGAAAATAAAATAGATAACCTATTAACTAACCTGACTTTTAAAAGAGAGAAGAAATCCAAATTGTCAAATGAAAAAGGAAAAATCACAACAATTGCAGAAGAAATTAAGGAAATTATTAGAAACAATTTTGTCCAATTAGGTGCCAACAAAACTGATTTAAATGGATGAATATCTAATTTCAGAAAAAAAAAATTGAGCAAGCCATAAACGAACTTCCAAAGAAAATAAACCCCAGGACAACGTGTATTCACAAGTGAAATCGATCAAACCTTCAAAGAACAGCAAAGTCCAATATTACATAAAGTGAAAAATTAGGAAAAGAAGAAATCCTATAAAATTACATCTATGAAATAAATATGATCTTGATACCTAAACCAGGGTGAGGCAAATCAGAGAATGAAAACTATAGAACAATACCCCCTGTCAATATTGATGCAAATAAGTAATTTTTTTCTGATAATTTATTTTTAGTTTTCAACATTCATTTAAGTAAGATTTTGAGTTTTAAATTTTCTCCCCCTCCTACTCTTCTCCCCCCTACCCCAAGACAGAGTGCAGTCTGATACAGGCTTTACTTATACATTCATATTAAGCATATTTTCCCATTAGTCATGATGTAAAGAACAATTAGAACTAATGGGAGGAATCACGAGAATGAAGCAGTAAAATAAAACAAAGGAAAAAGAGAGCAAATAGTATGTTCTAACCTGCATTCAGACTCCATAGTTTTTTCTCTGGATGTGGATAGCATTTTCCATTGTGAGTCTTTTGGAGTTGTCTTAGATTCTTGCATTGCTGTAAAGAGTCATATCTAAAAAATTTTTTTAAAAAATCATGTCTATCAAAGTCATCGCACAATGTGGCTATTGTGTACAGTGTTCTCCTGGTTCTGCTCACTTCACTTAGCATCAGGCCATACAAGTCTTTCCAGGTTTTTCTGAAGTCTGCTTGCTCATCATTTCTTTTTTTTTTTGGTTGGGCAATGGGGTTAAGTGACTTGCCCAGGGTCACACAGCTAGTAAGTGTTATGTGTCTGAGGTCGGTTTGAATTCAGGTCCTCCTGAATCCAGGGCTGGTGTTCTATCAACTGCGCCACCTAGCTGCCCCCCCTCATCATTTCTTATAGCACAATAGTATTACATTAGATTCATATACCACAACTTGTTCAGCCATTCCCCTATTGATGGGCATCCCCTCAATTTGCAATTCTTTGCCACCACAAAAATAATTGCTTTAAGTATTTTTGTACATGTGGGTCCTTTTTCCTATGATCTTGGGATACAGACCTAGAAGTAGTATTGCTGGGTCAAAGGGTATGCATAATTTTATAGCCGTTTGGGCATAGTTCCAAATTATTCTCCACAATGGTTGGATCAGTTCACAACTCCACCAACAATGCATTAGTGTTCCAGTTTTCTCACATCTTCTCCAACATTTATCATTGTCCTGTTTTGTCATGTTAGCCAGTCTGATGTGATACAAATGAATTAAATAAAGTATGATCAAAGAGATTATAACAACACATCAAAAATATTGCATATTATAACCAGACAGGTTTTATTTTTTAATTTTTTTCAATCAATGGAAAGGCGCTTTCTTTCCCTCCCACTTCTCCTACTCATTTTATTGAGAAAAAGAAAAAACAATCTATGTAGGATTACATACAGAATATAAGAACGATTCAATATTGAGAAAACTATAAACATAATGCAGCATATTAGTAACAAAAACAATCAAAATCACATAATTGCATCAATAGATTGAGAAAAACTTTTGACAAAAAACACTACCAATCGGTGGTGGCAAATAGTGACTTAGGAAACTACAAATTAATATTATGTTTTATTGTATTTTTATTTCTTTCACTAAACATTTCCCAATTACATTTTAATCTGATACAAAAGCATTTAACTCCTCTCAGGGAGTTTGACACTTCTGCTCCCAAACATTTCTTTCAAAAAAAAAAAAAGGTAAAAAGTGCAGGAATAAATGGATAGACCTTTCATCAATATGATAAATAGTATTTATCTAAAACAGAGCCAGAAAAATATGTAATGGAGATTACAAGAGACCTTTCTAATAAGATCAGGGGTAAAGCAAGGATTTCCATTATTACCAGTATCACTTAACATAGTGCAAAAAATGCTAGCTATAGCAGTAAGACAAGAAAAAGAAATTGGATAAGCATAGGCAAAGAGGAATTTTTTTTTCTTTTGCAGGTATGATGGTCTTCATAGAGAACCCTGGTGAGTCAACCAAAATAATTGAAGCAGTAACTTCAGCAAAGTCATAGAATATAGCAAGACATAAAATAAGCCCACACAAATCATCAGATCCCTTTCTATATACTACTAACAAACTCAGTGAGAAGAGATAGAGAAATTCCATGCAAAATCTACAGAATGTATGAAGTATTTAAGATTCTACCTCCCTAGTGTCTCTGGGGTTGTGTGACCAAAAATGAAGGACTAGACATTTTCTCTGTTCCTCTTGAGCCTTCAAAATCCCATCTCCTCCCAATCTCATAAGAAATAAGAACAAGAGGTAAACTAATTATTGTAAACTGTATCCCCAGGCAAAGGTACTAAGAACACTAAAGTGGTTACAATCCTATGAATTAACAGCAAAAAATGCTAATTTTGGGGTCAGTTAGCATCCACTCCCTTACCAAGCCCTGCATTTGGGCAGGGCCACACAATGGGGATCACATACTTGTGCTCAAAGATTCACTCATCAATTTCCTTATTCCTGGGGCTGCAGTTTCTTTTAACAAATTCTGTACTTGCCTTCATCTCCAGCATTCTATGGAAACAAGAAACAGAACTTAACTCCTACCCACCTCCTAAGTGAAGGAGGTAGAGGTATAGGAACATGGAAGTCATTGTGTGGGTTGACTCAGAAAATTAAGACCAGGAGGAACCAGAGTAGGGAGACAGAGCATGTGGGGCTCTACAAGGCCTCGAGGAAAGGGAACTGACACCCAGATGGGACCAGCTCTGTGCCCCAAGAAGTCATCTGGGCAGGGAGTTAGGCCATTAAAAAATGAATTATCCAGAAGGAGAGGAGGATGAGATAGCTTTGAGATCTATCCCTCAGAGGATCTGCAAATAAAGGGGAAACAATCAGAAAGTAAGTGAC